CCGCCTGGGCCTGCTCATCACCCCCACCTCGCACCCGCTCCCGCCTGGAGGAGGGTGGTGAAGACGTGGGGGTGGGCTCCTCGGGGCGGCTGCTCCCCGCCCTGGGCACAGCCCTTGATGGAGACTCGGAAGCCACAGCCGACAGAAGCCTGGGCCCCAGGGGGCCCCCTCCGCCCTCTGTTGGTTTCTGGGCCTGCACCCGCCCACCCTCGGGGCAGCCGCTCCCAGGAGCCTTCCCAGCGCCCTGGGGTGCTGGCTCCAAGCCTCCGTCCCCCTGGTTTCCTGCCCCGGGGGCCTCCGTTCCCACACCGGCAGGCAGGTGGGCCCCCCTGTCGCCCGCCAGCAGGCCTTTGGCTATTTCCTCTCCACTGGAGGCAGGCTCAGGGGGGTCCGCAGTCTCTGCAGCAGGCTCGGGGGGGCCCGGGGTCTCTGTAGCAGGCTCAGGGGGGTCTGCGGTCTCTGCAGCAGGCTCAGGAGGGTCCGCGGTCTCTGTAGCAGGCTCAGGGGGGTCCGCAGTCTCTGCAGCAGGCTCGGGGGGGCCCGGGGTCTCGGAGGCATCCTCAGGGGGGTCCGGGGTCTTCGAGGCATCCTCAAGGGGGTCCACGGTCTCTGCAGCAGGCTCGGGGGGGTCCGGGGCCTCCAAAACATCCTCTGGGGGGTCCAGGGTCTTGGAGGCAGGCTCAGGGGGATCCGGGTCCTCGGAGGCAGGCTCAGGGGGGTCCGGGGTCTCAGAGGCAGGCTCAGGGGGGTCCGGGGTCTCAGAGGCAGGCTCAGGGGGGTCCGGGGTCTCTGAGGCAGGCTCAGGGGGGTCCGGGGTTTCGGAGGCAGGCTCAGGGGGGCCCAAGGCTTCCTTGGAGAGGCCTGGGGGTCCCAGTACCTCTGTGGGGGTGTATGGGTGGTCTGGGATCTTCGCAGTGGGCTCCAGGATCTCTGGGGTGAAAGTGGGGGCGTCTGGGATCTTTGCGGAGTCAGGAGCCTCTGAGGTGAGTTCAGGTCTGTCTTGGGCCTCCGTGGTGGGCTCAGGGGTGTCTGGGGTTTCCAAGGCAGGCTTGGGGGGGCCTGCATCTCCACGTGAGGCCCAGGGTGTCCCCGCATCTGCAGCGAGCTCCCGGCCACCCTCGTTCGTCTGGTCCAGGTCCGGAGGCTTCAGGTCTTCAGTGCAGCCCATGTCCTTCCCCCGAGCTGCCCCCTGGGCCGTGGAGGCCATGGGCTCGGTCCCTGGGGCCCCACCTGCATCTGCCTTTGGGGCCTGCAGAGCGACTGGGCTGGGTGCCCTGCCCGCCCCCTGCGTGGTCTGGGGCTCAGTCCTG